GGTCCCAGAGTGGAAGAATTGTGTAATCCAATCCAGGAGAGGGGAAGGCATGAGGCCTGGTACCTGAAGGGGTGCATTCAGAGAAACCAGTGAGCAGGGCTGGATTAACTCTCCTGTGGGCCCAGGGCTATTAGATTTTGTGAGGCTCCTGTATACAAGTCTTTTCCCTGTTTGTTTCTGTGTGTGCCTATCCATCTCCCATCACCTCAGCTGTTCCTGCAGTGTCCTCAGTCCCTGGCCTTGCCCCAATGTCGTGATAAACTGATTCCACATGAACTTAATAAACCTGCTTAATAAACATTGACTGCGGGGATGTTCAAGGTTCACGCACACAAACTGCTGTGCAAGTCTGAGGCATTACTGCTAGGCTGCTGCCTGGAAACTCAGGAGTGTGGTCGGCTTGATGGAAAAGTGAAAACCGCAGGAATTTCTTAAGCTGCTTAACATGGAGTGTTGTTCTCCAGACACTGTCCATCACCAGCTGAGAATCAGTCATTTGTCAGGGCGCAGGTCACATAAAGGCAGACATAGGGGCACTGGCTCCTGGAGTCATAGGATTATACCAAAAACTTTCATTACAGAAAGTAAGTTTCTAGCCCTCGCAACTTCAAAGAAAATTTTCAAAAAGTGACCTGAATGGAATTGATGCAGTGGTGTGTGCCTCAGTCTGCAGGGAGTCAGAAACAATAGCTCCCATGTGCCAACAGCTGCACAGAAATGATATTAGAGAGAGAGAGAGCACATGCCAGATTTTCAGGAAGTGTAAATCAATGTAATTCCATTGGAGCCAGCAAGCTGAGGACCTGAGCCATGATGTGCAAAGTGCTTCAGGAGCCTTCCACATGAGAGGAACTATATAAATGTAGGGAACAGTAGCATTATCATTATTTTCTGCTTTGCTTCTTTCATTTAATTTCATGCTTCACTTTTGTTTTGTTGGTGTTTTATGCACTGGGACATTCATAATCATTTATTATCTGGGGTGATAGAGAATGCATAATGTTTTAGGAGTGATATGACATTTACATTCACTTATGAGTTATTAGATGTCTTCTTACAAGTTAGGATAAATGTCAAACCTCAACATCTTGTATTTTGCACATCATTTAAATTTCCTCTGTAGCTTCCTCTTGGTTACTCACTCAAATAGTTCGCTTGCTTTTATTTCTGGGATGGAAGAAAACATGCTGACTTCCTAAGATATCTTGAAAAGGCAATTACAATATCCTGTGACTTGCATGCTGCATGTATGATATTCACTACAGGGACTGATTCTGAAGCCCTTACTCACTTGAGTAGCCTCACTGAAGTCAACAGAACTACTCATGGAGTTGATGTATTCAGCGGGAGAAAGGGTTGCAGAATTCAGCCCTATATGTGCTTCACAATAAAATTATGATATAACTTAACCATCTGATAGAAGCCAAAATCCACACAGAAAAGAAAGTGAGTAGTTTTTCCTGCTGAGTCAAATATTCTCTTCATGACCAATATTGGAAATGGTATTTAAAAATTTAAGACACCCTTTAGTTCTCTGCAAAGCTCTGTTGTTTGATGCTTTCCTGCTTAATACAATGCACCTCAATAATAAGTAGGAATACATTTTTCAGGGTAGAATTAATATAGGTTGTAAATCACAGACAACACCTGGCCCAGCACAATAGATGTTTCCACTGGTGCTGGTTTAGCTCTGGTCTACACTACAAACCTATGTAGGTATAACTACGTCACTGAGGGGTGTGGTTGAGCAATGTAGTTACACTGAACTAACCCCCAGTATAAAGAGCACTTTGTCGACGGGAGAGCTTCTCCTGTTGATATAGCTACCACCTCTTAGGGAGATGGAGTATCTATGCCGATGGGAGAAACCCTCCTGTCGGTGTAGGTAGCATCTTCACTAAGTGCTGTGGCTGCAGCGCTGTAAGTGTAGACAAGCCCTTAGGGAAGCTTCAAGATGCTGCTTCCTGGTCCATTAAGGACATACCCCTTTGCTAGCAGCTCCAGAATGCTGCAATAGACAGTAGACATCATTCTGCCTATCAGTTCTTCCATGCCAAGGAAATACCAGTGATTGCTCATGTATTTTTCCCTGGATACTTACAATTAAAATGCACAATAGAATAAACCCCAGAGCATAACACAAATGGCCCATATGCTACCAGGTAGCTCTTAAGGTTTGGTACCACTGGTGTTGTTTGCTCCACTCCAGAGGTGGGTGCATTTCAGTTTTACAACAAGAAGACTGGAAAATGTTGGCCCAGAATCCTGGGGCAGACTGCTATCCACATGAAAGGGGATTTTTACTATTCACAGTAGACAAAACCTTGCTTTTGAGACAACATGCAAAAAGACTCCTGTGTGCCAGACTGCTTGGAACGTGCTTTATCTGCCTCAGAAACACGAAGGGCTAAGAGCTCCTTTGCGGGTGTGGTGGTCTGAGGTTCCCAGAAGCATGCTAAGGCCTCCCAGCCAGGCCCTTGGGATAGACCTTTCTGTTCCCAGTGAGAGGGTTCGTACATCTGCAATAGATTGGTGCAGTCTGCTCTGCTCTTTCAGAGATGGATTTCATGCTGATTCAGCCATAACTGTATAACAGCACGGATGTTGGGGAGCGTGTTAAGGGGAACCATATCCACGTTCTAACTACAAGGTTCTGGTAAGCAGGCAGGCTGTGTACACTATGCATCAGAGCCAGCTAAGCTTCCCACCTCAATGAAACTGCTTAGCTGGCTCAAGCTCCAGGTCCGCTCTCATTGCAAGTGCAGTGACTGTTAAATCACTGTTAATACTGCTTCATTTATAAAACAGCCCTTTCCCTAGGCTCTTGGGGCACTGTACAATAATTTCATAGTAACCTCATTATCAAACCACAATCAAACACCACTTCCTGACTAAAACTACAGACAGAAGAAAGAACAACGAGGGAGGGGTTGCACATAGGAGGAGGAAGAAAGAAGAGGATCTAACTATGGTGAAACAATTATTATTAATTGTCTTGTGAAAACAAGACTGCCAGAATTAATAATGCACTATTTCTAAATTGTTTAACTAAAAGGCGGCAGCACTCCATCCACCATCAATTTGTTCCTACCTGATGGTGATTCTATTTCCCAATGCATCAAAGAGAAAGGGGCCAGTCAATTGCACGTATCACAAATAGAGCCAGGCAAACACCTCAAAAACATCACCATGAATATTCACCTCGTTCAAGTCACTGAATTCACTCACTTTGTTCATGCCTGTAAAGAAACGGCCTCCACCCAAGAGCCCCCCTCATGGCCCAGGGAAGCACTGAAAGTGGCCCGTTGTCTCAGTCTCCATCTTGGGTAGCCCAAAAGACTCCAGGCTCCTATTTAGACAATACCCCTCCTGGGGGGCAGTTTATTACAGACACCTTGTGCAAAGAGTCTGTAACAAGAGTCCCAAAACATAGTCCATATGCCCCAGTGCATATAGTCCTTCTTGCCAGACCCCAGTGTTTCCAATATAGCTGAGGTCTTCTCCATCCTCTTCCACAACAGCCACCCCAGCCTTTCTTTTTGGGGTGCAACCCCACTCTTCCCAGCAGGAACTCCTACAACCTCTCCTAGGAGCACTGCTCCCTCTCCTGCTCTCTCACTGTTCCCCTGGGTCTGCTCTCCAGCAAGGAGATATCAGTGGGTAAGCCCTCCACTGCATCCCCTTTCTGGCCCTTTGCTCCAGCTCTCTGGCTTAGAGCCATCACGCATCTCCCTTTGCCTTTGCTTTTGCTGCCTGGCCCTGATTTAGGGACACCAACCAGCAAATCCCTCTTTCTGTTTTGCCACCTTTAACCTTCTTCCAGGAACCACCTTCTGCCTCAGTCAACTCTTATCTCCTGCTTGACTCCTGACTGATTTTTTATAGTCCCCATGGCTGCCCTGCCCTCTCAAGTGGTCCAATTGGAAGCACCTGGACTGGAACAGGAGTGCCAACCCAGTTTCATTTAGTGGGCCAGCTAGCCTGCTACAGTGTCCCTTTTGCATTTGTATTCTGAGAACAAGTTTACAAGCAAGAACAATGCATTTTAAGCCATTGATACTGAACATTTGCAGAAAGTGAATTTGAACTCCTAGACCTGAGAATGAGAATGATGGTCTAACCAATCAGGGAACAGAAACAGTAACATGTGACCTGCTGTATGTGTCCATTCAAAACGAAACACAGTTTTGAATACTCACAATGAATTGTTCAGGAAGAATCAAAAAGCAAAAAATTGCTTAAAGAAATTATTCGGGGAATGATTTTGAATGATCAAAACAGGTCAGGAAATCAGAAGCTGCCACAGGGACCGTTCATTAGCAGAAAGGCCAAATGTGTCATATAAAGTACTCGTTACAAATTCAAAAAAATGAAACTTTTTACCAAACCTGAACATGCTGAGAAACTGAAAATTTTGGACAAAAATGAAAATGTTCAGAGAAAATTTCTGTTTTAGTCAAAAGGCCATTTTCAGCAACAAGAGTAGCCACATAACTAGGAAAAAATTCTAGGAAAAAATTCTCCCTCTCTAACACATATCTTATGAAGTGGCAAATGAAGAGACGTGCCCTGTTCTTATTGACTATAGAGGTCCATTGGGCAGCTGTCTTTTATTTAACACTTGGGTCACAGCCTCACTGGTGGAAATCGGCGTACTCCTGTTGAAGTTAGTGGAGCTATGCTGTTTTACATCAGCTGAGGATCTGGCCCTTGGACTTTAACTCTCAATTCAGTAGGTTTGGGCAGAATCACATCCTTTCCAGAACACAATCAAGTGGGCTAAAGACATTCAACTAGACAGCAATACACCCAGCACAACAGAGTGTCCTGCTATAGACGCTGGATTACCGGAGTCATGTCAATCCTGTTTGCACTACTCTGTGATCGTGCCATGTTTTTCATATACTTGCTTGATATGTCACAAGGTTTAAAATAAACATTAAAAAAGAAATTGAAAAGCCACTCGAAATCATTAAACCCACCAACAACTGATAGCTTACCTCATTCCTCCTGCAGGGACGATCAGCACTGAATGCAACATCACGGGTAGCTGGGGAGTCTGCAAAGTGGGAATCACTGATTCAGGCCAGGGCTGGGACCTGGAGAAAAATGTTTAAAAAACAGGTAATTTACAAATACACTGAATGCCCCCTATGCCTTCTCCTCCTTCCCTATTATTCCTATTACTGGAGTCCTCTGAGGCCCCGATATGATCAGAGCCCCACTGTGCCAGGCACAAGGTTAACCAGGTTATTTAGGAGCATTCAGCATGCCGCATACTAGTTGTAGCTAGTCATTTATCCAACAAATTCAGCCCTGTTTTGCTGTTGGCAAATTAGGTACTGTGATGGGATGTCTACCCCTAAGGGGGGCTGGAACAATTTGTACAGTGGGGGTGCTGAGAGCCATTGAACCAAATGGTAAATTCTGTATATAATGGAAACTACTTCAAGCCGGGGGTGCGGCAGCCCCACCCCCTCTGCACCCCTAGTTCTAGCACCTATGTTACCCCACATAGGTGATGAAAGGGTTAATGAGAGCCTGAGAGACCAATTAACCCACCTGGTTGCAGGGGTGGGGAAGGGCGCTTAATTAAAGATGAAGTCCACCTGGGAAGGAGCTGGGTAGTGCTGTAATTAGAGGAATGTGGTTCAGGGGAGAGAGGAAAGAACTTTACAGTTCCCTCTCTTGGTACTAAAGATTAAACAGACACAGAGAGGAGAGGGAAAGAGAAAAGTTGCTGCAGGATGAGGAGGAAGCTAAGGGGGGAATACCTGGAAGATACAAGGTTGGAGTGAGCCCCTGTGGCTGACCCTGATACAAGGGCAGGAACTAGAGCTCCAGAGAAAAGCTCTGAGAAGGGCTGCTCACTAAAGGAGCCCACAAAGCAGCCTGGAGAAAGACTGTGTCAAGGGGTCTGACAGAACAGACCTTGCCTGCTTGTTCTATGGTCCCTGGACTGGAACCCAGAGTAGTGGATGGGCCTGGGCTCCCTTACTAGCACTGGGAAGGTGGCGTGAAGGCCCCCTGACATAAGGATGAGATAAAACCCTGCGAGAAGAGTGTAAGGACCATAGGACTAAGGGGTGAGGCCAAGGACAAGGTGTTGGACTTGCTGTTACCCTGGAAGGGGTGGAACTAAAACGTGACCAGTTGGAGAGCCGAGTTGTAAGAGAGACCACCACAGAATGTCACTGTTGACAGGGGGCACTAGAAAGGAAACAGCTCCCAGGTCGGCCTCAAGGGGGCATGCCAGTGGTGAGTCCATTCTTCTACATGCATGAAGAGATGGGTATTATAATGGGGTATTATAATATTGACTGCTGTGAGGCAAGGATTTCACCTTTCACTCTTTTTATGAAATTGTTCTGTATTCAGAAGTGTTCAAACGCTCTAGGTAAACAGCTCTGAGCCTAGGATTTGTCCGCAGCTTATTCCCTTTGGCTATTAGCTATTTGTTACCTGTGGGGTGCAATTGTTCGGGTTACTCATGTGGTACTGTGTTCTCCCTCCCAGACTGGCTGCTGAAAAATTACTAAAATGAGGGAAATCAATGAGCTGCTCGAATGTTTCTGATGCGAAACTTCATGCATATGGATGCATGAGTATTTGGAAGACTTCCTTGTCATTTCCATTAACACTTGTTTGCTTCCTTGGCTATGAATTCTCTTGTGAACAAAAAAAGCCATTTGCACAAAGGTTGATGGGGAAACAAATAGAGAGGATCAGAAATACCAACCAAGTGACTTTGTGATTTTGAGCCGAACAGACCTGTTTGCCCAGCTTTATTCAAGCACATATTTTTAGAAGTCATTTATTATTTTTTAACATAATACATTTACTGGGGTTGCCTTTTAGGCTAGCAGCACAAACAGCAAGTCAGCCTGACAGCATTAGGCATATTATATCTCCATTTTAGCACAGAAATAACATGCTGTGCTGACAGCTGAAGCAAAATATGTCAGTCACAGACAGTTTTACTTCCAAGACACTGCAGTGACCCTTATCAAAAGCATGGAAACCAGGGCCTGATGGCTGCTCAGAGCATATGGCTGGTGAGGGACTCATGCTAGCACTTTAGCAACAGCTGATGATATACTGCAAAACATCTGCCCTGTTCCCTGTCCCTGTGAGACCATGACCCAGCTACTTTGAGTCAAGTAACACTTCTCAGGCACCTAATGCATCAGAGGCTGCTGAGAAATCAGTAGCAAAAATACCCGAAATTGTCAGATTGTTATGTGGCTACTCTTGTGCTTGCATTGTAACAAGGCTAAAAATAAAGCTTAGCAGGGAAGAAAGGAAAGTATTTTAAGGAGTTAAAATGCTAGATTGTCAGCACTTCTAAGCAAAGACCTTGAGCGATGCATAGTTATGACACTCAGTAATAATACGTATCTTTCCATTTTGTCTGGAATAATGATGATGATTTATAGCTACATAATGCCTTTCCCTCTGGAGAATCCCAAATCACTGTACCGCCTGTGGTCCACATTTTGACCTCATCTGGCTCCAGAGAACACTTAAGTACATGCTTACATTTATGCCTATGCAGAAAACAAACACACACTTACTGTAAGTGCTTTCCTGAATAGGAATGCTTCCCTGAATCGGGGCTTTTCTGCCATGTAATCCCCTATGCTCCAGCCATCAGGGAGGCAGCCAATGGCAACCCAACTCCTGTTGGAGCTGTGCTACCAGAGGACAGGGCGGTAGCAGAGGAAGATGAAAGCTCTGGGATTCATGAGGCTGAGGGAAGAGCTCTTGAGGGACGTGCAGACTCATGTCCCCTGCCTGCTTCACAGCCATCTAAGGTTCCAGAGGACACTCAACAGGATAAACCTCACGGAGTTTCCTGGGCATTGATTCCCCCAAGTACATTTTGTATGACCAAATACAGTATGTCCCAGAGTAAGTAACTCGTGCACCAAAGATGCCCAGTCCTGCTCTTGCTGTATTAATTTTTTTTTAACATGGGCAAAACAATGTATTTTCCCCACATTTCGTTCTCAGAAACAGCGGAGCCATTTTAGCTGAAACTGTTAAACAAAACAAACAAACAAACAAACACATTCAGCGGGAGGTAGACTCCTAGCATGGAAAATTTCAGCACAAACAGTTAAAGTCTGGAATAGGGATCGGCAACCTTTGGCCTGTGGCCCGCCAGGGTAAGCACCCTGATGAGCCGGGCCGGTTTGTTTACCTGATGCATCCACAGGTTCATAGAATCATAGATTCTAGGACTGGAAGGGACCTCGAGAGGTCATCGAGTCCAGTCCCCTGCCCGCATGGCAGGACCAAATACTGTCTAGACCATCCATGATAGACATTTATCTACCATCCCTGGGAGACATTATCGCGGCTCCCACTGGCCGCGGTTCACCGCTCCCAGCCAATGGGGGCTGCGGAAAGTGGCATGGGCCGAGGGATGTGCTGGACGCCACTTCCCGCCCCACCATTGGCCTGGACTGGCAAACCGCGGCCAGTGGGAGCCGCAATCGGCCGAACCTGTGGATGTGGCAGGTAAACAAACTGGCCTGGCGGGCTGCGTGCCAAAGATTGCCAATCCCTGGTCTGGAATATGTATAAGCAAGTGAAAAGAGTCTTAGCTATGTCTACACTAGCACTTTTGTTGATAAAACTTTTGTCAGACAGGGAATGTGAAAAGAACAACCCCTGACCCACATAACTTTCACCGACAATAGCACTGGTGTGGACAGCGCTATGTTGGTGGGAGACGCTCTCCCACCAACAAAGCTACCGCCGTGCATTGGGGATGGTTTAATTATGCCGACAGGAGAGCTCTCTCCCATCGCCATAGAGCGGCTACACGGGAGACCTTACAGCTGTGCTGCTGTAAGGTCTGTAGTGTAAGCATAGCCTTAGAATGTGTTGGGTAACCTTAACTCTAGGCATTGTTACCACAATGGAAAAAAATCAAGAATAAAATGTATAATTCCCCAAATGATGTCTAGCAGTTTAACCTCTGGAGGAGTTGATTAAGCATGTTACTGGATTAAAAGTAAGATTTAAAGGTGGCTAGAAGATATCAGATATCAAACACCTGCTATAAAAAAACATTTCAGAGTCTGGCGGGGAGGGAGATCCTATCACTTAATGAGGCTTCTCCATTTTATTTTTTTTAGTCTTTTCATAGTGCTCCCTAAAGAATCTGCGCTGCTTGTAAGTGGCAGTCTGGTTCAGTACAAAGGGCACTGGCCTGGGAGTCAGCTTCTATTCCCTGTTCAGCTACCAATCTACTGCATGTCCTTGGGGAGGTCGCTTCCCCTGTGTAACATGCCTCAGTTCCCTCGCCCTGCACTCCTTGCTGCAAACAGCCCTCGCACTCCAGTGGCAAGTTCAACACCATGTGCTCCTTCCCCACCGCATAAGCCTTTTACCATCTCTCTGGACAGGAGAGGTGGGGAAGGGGGAGGGGGAGGAAGAGGAGAGCGAGCAAGTGAGCATACTCACCTAGCTGAGATTCATCCTGAGCTTCTCTTCACCAATCCTATCTCTTCCTGTCTGGCTTTTTTACTGTCCTCAGCAGACAAGCTGAATCACCTTGTTAACCACCTGGTGCTTAATCAATTATCTCATCAATTTGGCCCATGTGGGGATGCTTACAAAGCCCAGAGTACCTCCTGTCCTTTGTCCTTCTTGGCTAGTTAATCTGTCTTTGGAGCAGAGATGTTTACTATGTGTCCGTGCAGTGCCTAGCACAGTGGGTCTCTCGTGGTAGAGCGGGGAGAAGGAAATTCCCGACTGAAGGGGATGCTCGGGATTGCTTCCTGTGGGTGTAAAGGAAATAGTGTTCCCCTCTGAGGCCATATCTGGATTCTGTAGGAAATGAAACAGGGGCTAAACCTTTCTGACTTGAACGCATAATAGTGCTCCAAGAGGGGCACAGCTAGGTAGTGGCAGCGCTTGCAACTATACCTGCAAGCTCACTGATTTCACAAGCTAATGGATGGGCACCTGGATGGGACACCTCCAAGGAAAATCCAGGGTCTACAGGAAGTTGTGCTGGCAATGTAATTGGTGGCTCTGGTCCCCCAGCAGGATGTTAGGAGGCACCCTGGGAGCATCCTCCTTTTGG